GCAACACGTCATGAACTCTAAATTATGTTCATCATACACTCGCGCCATCCTATGCCAATGTTGGTACTATATACAAAGTTAAGGAAATGACCGCGAGAGCCCCAAGACACAAGCGGCTAGATAGATAGATGAATTGAAGTAATCAAAGTGCCTTTTGTTTGCTAAAAAATGCTTTGCATTTAAAAATACTTTGGAATTTACCTCTACATAGAACAAATATATATTAAAGAAAGTAACTGTCACCTTTACAAAAGTATACATCAGTGTACCATTTACATTATGGGAGATGGTAAAGTAATACCATTCATTGAGAAGCGTAAACATTGTGAAAAGGAAAAGCTCCACATAGAACATGCCGATGAATGAGACACCAGCTCCAAACAGAAAATCTCAGAAACTATTTTCGTATAATGAGTTTTGCCACGCCAGTACAAAGAGTAGGAAGCAAGAGAAAGAAAGGCAACTTGATATATCAATTTTTGACTGGCTATCACTGCACACTGGCAGGAAGCATGCATCTGCCAAGTTTTAATATTCTCACCAGCAGTCAAAGGAATAGCCACCTACAGTGTTTTTCGTTCAGCAGCGCTGGATGCTGGAGCGCTGCGTAAGAGTTTCCATAGCACGTGATCCGCTGGCAAAGAGTACCAAGTTGCATTCGTGGGTGAAGGACTTGCTTTAGGCAGGAGTACTGCTTGGCTCGAGTCTTCAGCTGCATAATCAAAGCACAGGCTTAGCTCAAACATCGCATCCTGATCGCCAACATCCTCAACTGAGCCCCCTAGAGCTGTCTCTTACACTACTGCTGTATGTAAGATATATATATATATATATATATATATATATATATATATATATATATATATATATATATATATATATATATATATATATATATATATATATATATATATATATATATATATATATATATATATATAATGAGATATAACAGACAGTAATATACAGTTGGTAATTTTTTCATCCACTTTTCTTTCTTCTTATTTACATTCCATTAATGTTAATAACTTCCCCTGTACATTCCTTGGCATTACTGTCTGTTATATCTCATTATTATTGTGTTAAAAACACGGAAAAACGAGCCCTTAGGTATACACTTCTTTCCCTTATTTCATTGAACGAGGGTCTCGTACTGGCAGACTTGGTGTGTTTAGGTTGTATAAGAGGGACAATTAATCAGCTGCCCGCTCATAATAAGTTCACGTGCTACGTGACGCCAAACATGCGCATAAGAGTGTTTTCACACTCGTTGTTTGGCTTATAGATGGCACTGACTGTCGCTCCTACTTCTAAATTCACAGATAAACCCAAAAAAGTGGATGGAGGGAGTGCCGCTGTAATAGCTCAGTGGTTAGAGCATCGAACGCGTAATTCGAAGGTCGTAGGTTCGATTCCTGCTTACAGTTGGTAATTTTTTCATCCACTTTTCTTTCTTCTTATTTACATTCCATTAATGTTAATAACTTCCCCTGTACATTCCTTGGCATTACTGTCTGTTATATCTCATTATTATTGTGTTAAAAACATGGAAAAACGAGCCCTTAGGTATACACTTCTTTCCCTTATTTCATTGAACGAGGGTCTCGTACTGGCAGACTTGGTGTGTTTAGGTTGTATAAGAGGGACAATTAATCAGCTGCCCGCTCATAATAAGTTCACGTGCTACGTGACGCCAAACATGCGCATAAGAGTGTTTTCACACTCGTTGTTTGGCTTATAGATGGCGCTGACTGTCGCTCCTACTTCTAAATTCACAGATAAACCCAAAAAAGTGGATGGAGGGAGTGCCGCTGTAATAGCTCAGTGGTTAGAGCATCGAACGCGTAATTCGAAGGTCGTAGGTTCGATTCCTGCTTACAGTTGGTAATTTTTTCATCCACTTTTCTTTCTTCTTATTTACATTCCATTAATGTTAATAACTTCCCCTGTACATTCCTTGGCATTACTGTCTGTTATATCTCATTATTATTGTGTTAAAAACACGGAAAAACGAGCCCTTAGGTATACACTTCTTTCCCTTATATATATATATATATATATATATATACACAGCCGTCATTTACACATTCAAGACATCACTGGGGGTGCCAGCCATTCAATGACACAGAACAATCAAACATTAATCAGTTGCATACATTAGATTTGTGCAACTTTCTTGCTCCAAATTGAATGAAAAGCAAAGTCCAATGTAAACTATACTTGACATGGCTACATGGCAATGAGAACACACGTTTGATCAAAAAATTGTTTCTGCAAATTTAAAGCCTAAATTTGAAACTTGCTTTAGATTAAGAACTGTTTGTGTCATGGGCATGAACGTGTGTATTACTGAATAAGTGGGCCTACCAAGATGGTACAATCAAGCCAGAAACTGATGGGCTTCAGACCCTTGCTATGAATAAGTATCTCACTATCAGAGGGAGAGTCTTGACCCTGACAGGTGTGAGGCCTTTAGGTGAGAAAGTTTATGGTCAGCTCCCAACTCTTAAATTACGTACTATGCAATGCCATTTGGAAAAAAAAAACAAAATTGAGAGAGAGAAGGGAAAGAAGGAAGGAAGAAAAAAGAAAGGCTTCCGATTACCGTCATGACTACAAGTGGCTCTAGATACTCTCAAGGTTACAATAACAGAAATACCTAAGAACGTGAATGGGGGAACACTACCACCGTAGCACTACTGGTAGTGCCAGTGCAAGTTGTGCAATAACCCAGATCAAAATTGTAAAATGTATAAAACAAGTACAATGGTTTAAGGTAAAAGTTGTTTATGATAGACTGCACCATAGGTCATACATTAAAAATGAGAGTTAAAATTAGTAGCAATTCATATAAACAGCAATTAAGTCCTGGCACACCCATAGGATCAAGCTTGTTGGGGCATTTGAGAGATCAGATTTCAACTGTACACTTCTTTCTATGAGGCTTGGCCAGTGTGTGAAACAAGCTCACCAAAGGAATACCAGGGCACATGAATGCCAGAAAATGTACATAAAAGGGATATAATGGCTTAGCTTAAGCATTAACTGAATGTGGCAGAGTGGAGAATAAGATATAACATAAAAATGCTAAAGGACTATTAAAGATTCAGCAGAAGCATATGAAGAAATTGATTGATTGACTACTGGGGCTTAATATTCCAAAACCACCATATGATTATGAGAGACGCCGTAGTGGAGTGCTCCGGAAATTTCGACCACCTGGGGTTCTTTAACGTGCACCCAAATCTGAGCACACGGGCCTACAGAGTTTTAACTTCCATCGAATACGGAAGAAAGGCACATGACTGTGGTGTGGTATTTTTATTAAGTGCAACGGTACAAAATTATGCAAATGATATGCACAAATGTGTGCACAGAGATAGGTGAACAGTCACATGTTTTATGTAACCATTTGTTTACAGCTAATGATGCAAACAGCAACATAATTATTACCAACACCAGAAGCAGAAAGCTGATATGGAGGACATGCCTTGCAAGGATGGTAGGCCTGTCTATTGCTTCGCAGATAAACTTCAGTGGATGGTGCTTGAATATTCAAGTGACATTAACCTATTAACCAATAACATTAAATATATGTATTGCTTATAAAACTACACAGCTACCATTGCGACCCCAATTGACGTTTCACCAGCATTACGCCTGCATAGGGTATTTTTTCAAAGCACTTTCGAAGCCTAGCGTGGCTCTGTGGTAGAATACCTGTTTGCCGAACAGAATACTTGGGTCTGATTCCTACTGTTCGTGCTTCTTTTCTTCGCACCACGAGCCGTTCGTGAAATTTAGGCACCCAGGGACTCAGCTCTGAGACCACGTCTGTTGCAGTGCGCCTTTCTGTCATCCGAGCTTTGATAAAGCATGCAAATATACATTGCTGACATGCGCCACGCATTAATACTCGACATTTTAAGCGAAGTTAAGGCAAAGCAAAAAAATGGGCTTGGTTGTCGTGACCATTCTGAAGGCATTGCAGCTGAGGTCATCGTTTTTTACATCACTACTCGTGTGCATTTCCTAACTAAAAGCGTGAACCAGAATAGTGCTAAAAAACGAGAATCAGCCAAGCACCTAAAGCTCAGTAGATGTTAAGTTCTGCACATGTCCATCTCACGTGTCTTCTTTTTTGCGAATCCTCGTAATAGTTTTGAAAAGCTGTTAAACTAGTGAAATTTATTTTGTTATTTTGTATTTTTTTGTACTCTTCCAACCATCACAATAAATAAAAAGATGTTCCTGTTTTCATTTTCGATGCTGAGCATTGTGTCCTTACCATGACCTTCTATGTAGTAAGCCAGCACCAAAACTATAGTGGAAGCGCGCCGTAAGCTTGTGATGGTGATGAGCAATCGCTTTGTAGCGAATGTTATTAGCGCGTGTGGTAAATATGAATATATATATATATATTCTTGGCCAAACTATGTATATACAAACCGCTGAGCCACGCAATAACTAACCTAGCAATTTTACGTTTGCATGAGCCAGGAAGCAAACACGCGCGTTAGAATTGACCATAGCTGCAACTCAGAAGGAGCCAGCGACGGCCGGTCAACGCAGCCGAAGCTCCTAGGAAATGGAGCAGTGGCGCCACCTCGCGCCATCCGTGTGAAAGGCTGGCGCCAGAGCCTGGCCGGTCGCACCACTGGAGTACTTCTAGTTCACTATACTTTTGGCGCAGCCTGTTACCCGTGACGTCACCCACCTTCACGGCGAGCCAAGCCGAGGCTGGCCAGAGCCACCAGCTGGCTCGACTGCTAAGCACAAAGGCGCCAGATCTCGGACAGCATCAGCATGGATCGGTCACCTCCAAAGATGCCGCCTCCAGCGAAGCAGCGCAGCGGAAGGTTTTACTTCACGCCCGAGGTAGATATTTTTCTGTTACGTCAGGTGCTGGCCGTGGATCCTTTTGAAGATGGTTCGAAATGGCCCGCCATCGCTCGCAACTTGTCGGCGGTGTTGCTGAGAAACGTGGTTTGCCCGGAGCCTTCAGGCATAAACTCTGTCGCGAACAATTGACGTCGATAACTAAAAGTCGTCTTTGTGTACATTGTTTACACAGAGTTACACGTTACACCGTTGTTCAGTTTCTACGACCAGCCGTCTGGATTGCTTGGCATCATTGGTACCGGCTTCAGTCGAACTGCAAATGGCGGGCCATACGAAAAAAGTTTTCTGTTTTCGGTTTATAACTGTCATATTATTAATCAATGATTTATTGAAAGTAATTCACTTTATACCGTGTGTATGTTTATTTGACATTCAAATCGTAAACGTAATTTAAAAATTACTGACGTGTCAAGAATCTATGGCGCTACGAACGCATGTGACCTTCGTGCGGCTCGCGTTTTCATGCGTGCCGCAAATCTGCGCTCGACGTGCAGATTTGCTATTGCAGTACCACTCGTTTTCCTGATAGATGGAGAGTGCTGACGCTGCCAAAAACTGGGAGGTGGAGGTCGTGCCTGGTGCTTCCGGTTACGTCCCGGCCAGATTGGATCCAGATTGATTACCCCCTGATTGGAAGGACGTGTCGGGAGCGGCGAAGATTGTACAAGGAATTGCTCAAGCAGGCCTTGATTCGTGAGCACCTGCAGTGGGGGAGACGCCCGCTGCGTTCCCGACTGATCAAGTAGGCACCGGTAAGCCTGGCGATTCGTGCGCGCGAGCCTACAACTAGATCTCGGGCGATGTGAAACTTTCTCAAGGAAAATTGGCTAGTAGTGGTATATATTATATATAGGTAGTTATGTTATAGGCAGTTATTTCATATATTGATCATATGTAATCTGGTGCTTGCAACCATTTCCGGTAGCACTTTCGACATGGTTGTCAAATCAATCCACGCTAGTGGTAAATATTCTATACCAATAGTGGCATGTGTTATACAGGGTGTGACAGCTATTTTTAGCCATGATTAAAAAATATGCTAACAGTCTTTGATGATTCGCCCAAATGCATGTTGCATACTATCGTTTGATGTGCAAGTCGCACCATTTCATGTTTTCTACTTAATTGCTTAATTAGGCATGATTATTTACCTATTAAAGCAATGAAGCTAGCAAAACTTTATAAGGGTGATGGTTGCAATTGGTTGACAAATGTCCGATTAGAAAGTTTGTAATCTGCTAAATGAGTGTTTTTCTGCTCATTGCAGATGCCCAGGAAATACAAAAATACTTGGCTGGAGACTTAATGGATTCACCACGTTCCCCCCCATCTTCTTTCCCCTTAGTCTCGGAAAGCAAGCAGTTTATGTCGCCGCTGGGCCTCCATGAAGTAGTCAGCCACTTATGCTATTTCTTAAACCACATTGCAGTTCCTTTAGTGAATGAACAGTGAAAGGCAGCAATAAATATTCTGTTTCTGTGAACATCAAATCCCTCAATGCGTCATAAATTTTGCCCTGCTCGGTCATCTCTGCCGACCGACCAAAAAAAACTAAACAGCCTGGTGGAGCCATGTCTTTTTTGGCCTCATAGTCTCACTAGGCCTCTGGTGACACACCGCCAAACACCTTCACTACCTCACTGTGCAGGCGCACACCTTGGCCAATGGCCCATTTCTCTTTAGGCCATTCCTGACCCATAGCAACAAGCACAAATTGCTTTTGATAAGTGTCCAAATCATCCAGATTCTCCTTGAATACGGGAATTGAACTGTGACAGTTTATGAACAAAGGATGTGTTTCATCTAAATCGTGCACTGGAGTTAACTCTGTGGAATCTTCAGCGCTGACTATCTTTAAGGAGTAATGACATCGAAGTTACGCATGCCAGCATTTGAATCCCTATGTAGTTATCATCCCCCGACAGCAATTCACAAGTCGGAATGCAACGGAGGGACGAATCAGTTGTATTTATTAACATGACCACTATCGAGTACAATTGACAAGAAGCAGAACGCTCGCCTATTTTTAGTAATACCAGCGCTGCCTTACAGCCACCACAGCTGATTGTGTTACACAAAAAAACGTGACATCAGGTTCGTCTGCTAGATATCATTGTGCCATTGCCATCAACAGTGTTGACAAGTGATGAAAGCAGCTTTCTGTAATTGGGAATCGCAATTCATTTCAGTTTTGACACTAGGCAAAGTAGTGATTTAGAAATGAACGTCCTTCCAAGCAGCGATAAGAATTGGTGCAAAGGGGGTGCACACTTGAGTCATGCTAAGCCATACTGATTCAAGAATAGTGTGTACATCATTCCAGTATATGCAGAGTGGTTTATGAAATATCAGGTAACTGTACGATGATATCAACAGGTTGTGATGCTGTGGACAACCACAATGATAAATGTGTGCCTTTTCATTTTGTTTTTGCCTAATGTCCATGATAAAAAAAAGTTCTAACAAAGCAACACATTTGGAATTACACTGCTGCCACAAATGCACAGTGTCAAATTTTATGAAAGAGAACGCGTTGCCCGCGCGCTGCGGTGGCTGCTGGGAGCGCGTTCAAGCGGGACCGAGAGCAACCAGTCTCTTTTCACGTTATCTCTCGGTGAGGAAAGCAACCATTCGTTGCCGATATAAAACCAGTAGCAAGATTGCGACCACCTCCCTCTTTAAAGCAATTATGCAAGAGCCGGTAATCGCCTTTAAGAGGGAGGGTTTGCAATCTTGCCGTTCTATATCGGCAACGAATGGTTGTTTTCCTCACTGCGCGACGCTAAAAAAGTGTGTGGGTCTCTCGCTCCCGTTTGAACGCACTGCCAGCAGTTGCCGGAGCCCGCAGGCCAGGCCCCACTGTGTTCTCTTTAATAAAAATTGACACTGTACACCAGCAGGGAAGTATCAGAGAATGCTATCTGCGTCTTCCTTGGTGGTGATATTTGCCCATACAATTTGATAGTTTGTGGTCATGTTAGCGTGTTTCATAATCCAAAGAAACAAGACACTATTACTGCTTTTTTTTTTTTTTTTGCACTTCGAAAAACACGACTACACTACACAGCAGTTTTCGAACATGCTGACTGACAAGCACATGACAAACTATTCCAAGCGGTGCTAAGATCAGGCATACGAATCGGAGAGAGTCACTGAAAGTGAAAGCGTTTCCAAGTGTCAATCCCACGATGTTTAAACACTCAAATCATTGACGTCATTGCTAGTTACGCATAGTCTCTCAGGATGGTAAAGGCCAAACCTAATGCACAACAGTAATGTATATTTCACAGCATGCTGAACCCCCTTTGAGTTTCTGAACACCATTTGCCCTCGAAATGAAATAACTTCCAAATGAGAGATGCCATGATAATTTTGCCAAGAATACCTATGCATACCGAGCAATCAAATGAAGGGCACATCTCATGCTTGAAATTTTTTTGTCAGTGCCCCTTTCGGCAGCCTCAGTGCCTTCTGCTCAAGTTCCAATCGCTGTTTAGGTTGCTTCATGCTCTACGACTCGCTCTTCACCTGCTTTGGCAGCTTTTTTCTAAGTTCTATCAGAGCGCTCATCAACCCATCTTCTGAGTTCTGCCAACACATACGCTCGCCCAATGCTATGAGCTCCATCAAACTCGTCTCATTTAAAGTTCTGGTCAAGCCATTCAGAAAAAATGCCTTCATCCTGTACAGTCATGGATGCCTGTTTATGATGCAATGTTCACGTTTAGTTTGACTGAGGTAGTACCTCAGATTAGGAAATGAGGACACCAGTTTTTGGAAAACGCAACTTCTAGGTCGAATACATGAAAAATAAAAAAAAGTAAATAACTTAAAAAGACTGAGTGAAGTCAGCGACATGTTAGGAACAAGCTATTACGACAAGCAAGGCATGGTAACTGCATGAAGTTTCATTGAAAGTTCAAAAAATGATAGTCACCACTTAATCCGATGCTTGCATCGACCATGGCGGTGGATTTTTTGGCAGCCGGTGGTGCTTGTGGTGCAGACAAGGAGCCAAGTTTGCCCAGAAGTGATAGTCAGAGGAAACTTAGGTTACAGTAGCCAGATGGCCTCCAAATGAGGTCAGAGAAATCTCCCCATACATGCATGTACCATGGATGCTGGCTGTAGGCCTTATTATAGACCCGTGGCTCGCAGCCGGCCGCAGAAGCCTGATTGCCACCCTGAATAGCAACGTCTGCCGCCCACGGGGTTGTTCCGCACATGCTGTGGGAGTGACCGGTACAGTACAGACCCACACTAATGCCACGACCCTTTCGACGAAGCTCCATGAGGCTCTCCCCGCTTTGACGACCAAACGTCTGTCGCCTCACGGGCGACACAGCACGCCCGTGAGGCGGCGTCGAGGCAAGCCCTTGACGTACGCAGATGAAATAGTGCTAATGGCCGACAACAAGGAAGATTTGCAGAGATTGATGGACATCTGCGGTAATGAGGGAGATAGGTTAGATTTTAGATTCAGTAAAGAAAAATTAGCAGTCGTGATTTTCAATGATAACAAAGTTAGTGAGCTTAGAATACAGGAGGTCGCGCTTGAGATAACAGATAAATACAAATATCTGGGTTATGGATAAACAATGGGACCGAATACCTAAGGGAACACGAAATATACGTGTCGACTAAAGGTAACAGGAATGCAGCAGTGATGAAAAATAGGGCACTGTGGAATTACAATAGGTATGATGTCGTGAGAGGAATATAGAAAGGGGTGATGGTTCCTGGGCTGATGTTCGGCAATACGGTCTTGTGCATGAGATCAGAAATTCAAGCAAAATTAGAAATTAAGTACCGTGGAATAGATAGGCTTGCTTTAGGAGCTCACAGGAATACACCAAATCAGGGAGTACGAGGTGATATGGGATGGACATCATTTGAGGGCAGGGAAGCCAGCAGCAAGATAAAATTTGAGAAGCTATTGAGAGAAATGGGGGAGGAGCGTTGGGCTAGAAAATTTGAGAAGCTATTGAGAGAAATGGGGGAGGAGCGTTGGGCTAGGAAGGTTTTCAGCTACTTGTACATGAAGAATGTCGATACAAAATGGAGGAAGCGAACCAGGAAATTGACTGGTAAATACTTAGAAACAGCAGGTGGCCAAACCAAAAAGAACTATCGGTTAAGAAGAAAGTGAAGGAAACGGAGACTGACATGTGGAGAATTGACATGATTAAGAAGTTCGCACTAGAGATCTATCGAACTTTTAAGCAGGAAATTGCCAAGGAAAGGATCTATGATAATACTCGGGGTAGTTCTTTACTGTTTGAGGCCAGGACGGGAGTGTTGCGGACCAAGACATATCCGGCCAAATACGAAGGGGTAGACAGAGTATGCAGTGCGTGTGGAAAGAAAGAAGAAACTGCCAAACACTTGATAATGTTCTGTAAAGGGCTTCACCCAATAGTTCAGGATGATGGCGCAGAGTTTTTGAAAGCACTGGGGTTTAGGGACAGGGAGGGCAAAATAGACTTTAAGCGGGTAGACTTAACTAGAAGGAGGTTATCTGATTGAAATAAACCCTTAACTTTAAAGTACGAATCCTCAACCTCACTATTTAAAGGGGAAAAAAAGATAAATCTAATGGTTAGTTCACTAAGTTTATGGCTTGCCCCGCCGCGGTGGTCTAGTGGCTAAGGTACTCGGCTGCTGACCCGCAGGGCGCGGGTTCGAATCCCGGCTGCGGCGGCTGCATTTCCGATGGAGGCGGAAATGTTGTAGGCCCGTGTGCTCAGATTTGGGTGCACGTTAAAGAACCCCAGGTGGTCTAAATTTCCGGAGCCCTCCACTACGTACTTGGGTTTTAGCAGCGCGAAAAATGCACAAAAGACAAGAAAGGGACGAGACAAGCACTGACTTCCAACTGAAATTTTATTGACGAGAAGACCGTTAATATGCAATGGAGCACAAAGAGTGAAAAAATGACGTATTTTAAGATACAAATTATCAACTAACGCCATGCCTGCTGCGCCTACCCTCGCACCTCAAGAAACATATCTCTTTATCTGAAAGAGCAACTGAAGGCTTGCTTACGCATGCGCCGCTTTCAAGCTCCATTTGAGCAGCCTCATAAATTATACGCACGTTTTCCTCTTTAATCTTGCATAGAACTGTTGTTTTTTCAAACAGCGGAGTGCACCCACACGTGCTCACGTGTTGCGCTAAGAAGCCATCTTTTCCGCCACGAACATTATTGGCATGTTCCCGTAAGCGATCGTTAAGGCATCTGCCCGTCTGGCCCACATAACATGCACCGCAAGAAAAAGGGGTCCTGTAAACGACGCCTAACGCGCAGTCCACAAACTGCGTTCTGTGCCTCACCATACACCGTTTTCTCATACTCTTTACGGGGCAGGTCCTGTTTGTCAACTGGGACAACTTATCAGGGGCACTGAAGACCACTTTCACATTGAGGCGCTGTCCTATTTTCTTTAGGCGGTGTGACACAGAATGCATGTACGGAATAACCGCTACCTTT